GTCGGCGCCGGCAACTGTAGAGAGGCGATGAGCAATCAAAAGAGTAGTGCGACCCCGGGAAACTGCTTGCAGAGCCTGCCAATAGGGTGTAAGCATACACATAGCCGAAATGAACAGGGGTTGTCTTCATTTCATGACGACAGGAATGAGAGAAGCTGCCCCCTGCAAGCGACTGCCTGCAAGACCCAGTTCCATTTAATTTTCTCACGCAAATGCATATAAACAAGCCTACATGTATAAATGCATAGATATGGAGGTTTCTTGTAGGTGTATCCACGCCTCTCACCGACAGGAGGAGGAGCAGACACATACCTTAAGGATTTTGTGCTCGGTATGGAGGTCCAGGGCGCTTGTCGCCTCATCAAACAAAACTATCTCCGGGTTGCGCAACAGGCATCGTGCGATCCCAACCCGCTGCTTTTCGCCGCCGCTGAGGCGAAGGCCGCGGTCGCCAACAGGCGTGTCGAGGCCATCGGGAAGCGACTCTACCAACTCCGTTAGTTCCGCGAGGCGAATTGCTTCCTGCGCACCGCCGCCACAGCACAACTAAAGCAACAAACAAAAGCATGACGTCAGGCTGCCTTGGTTGGCGTCTTGCCAGACAGACGGAGGTTCAACAAGACAACGCCCGAATATGGATGCAGATGGAGGGATTCCATCACGGGCAATGGCTCTCGGCAGCAGCAAACATATCCGGAACCAGCAGCAAGGAACTTTCTAAAAGCACCTTCACTTGTTCGTCTGTGGCGTGGGGGCTCCCGTATCGCAGGTTGAATCCGAGAGACTCGTTGAAGAGCGCCACGTCTTGGGGAACTACCCCAATGTGCTTCCTGTTGAGAGCACGCCGCGCACAGAGGCAGTAGCAGCCCGCCCTCAACACGGTGCTGCCCCAAATCCCACACCCACTCTTTATATTACCCGCTACTTCCCTCACTTTGTTCGGAGGAGGCAAAGGAGTGGAAACGCCTTCACGAAAGCACTACTATGAAGCACATATACAAATATAGATGGGCCATACAGCAACACAGTTGTGCGCGCCAGGTCCACATGACCAGCTTCTTCAGAGCAGCCATAGTGCCAAAGATAGATGCAAGGTACCTGAATGACATGATGGGGAGAGTCTTGAGGTCCTGTCCGTCTATAGACACGACGCCGCTCAGGGGGTCGGCGAGGCGATACAAGAGGCGAATTAGCGTTGTCTTGCCGCAGCCTGACTCCCCTACCAAGGCCACTCGGCTACCGGCGGGCACTTGAAGCGAAAATCCGTCTAACACCAGCTTGCCCCCACCGTGTGCAGATGAGGCGTCTTGGTGCATATGTCGCATTTCCTGCATCCGCGACGTCCGGTGTACAGACAGCTGTTCCAAAGAGTGTGAAGGGGGGTAGGCGAATTTCACGTCCCTAAACTCCACAGCGCCGCCTCTTAACTCGAAGGCAACCGGGTTCGGGGGATCCTGGACCAACGGCTTCAGCTGCAGCAGCTGCTGCAGCTTCTCCAAGTCTATTGTATTGAGCGTCAGCTCTCTGTAGGCAGTCCCGATGAAGTTGAGAGGAATCGCCAGCTGCAGGCACAGAAACGCTGCCCCAGCTAATTCATTTGACAACGGACTACAGCAGGCAGCAACAAGACGAGAAGATATAACACGCATTCACAAGTAAGCCGCCGAGCCACGCCCCACATCCACACAAACTAAGACGGATTCTATACCTCATGTTCACTTGCACAACACACTTGCAGGCTAAGCGAGTATATGCATGTGCAGATGCATGGTGGTGCTCGTGCAAGCATGCAGAGGGGTATGCATGCAGGCAAGGCACGGGAGGTGTTGATCGTGTACCTGCAGGAGCAGCGTGCTGACGAGTACGATTTGGCCAACAGGGGCAACCCCTGCGGCGACGAGGTTGGCTGTGTGCAGAAGGGCAATGGCGAGGCCACTGGTAAAGATGAGCTGCTGCCCGAAGTTGAGTAGGGCCAGCGACTCATTCACCTTCGCCATTTGATTCTCCAGCTGCCGCTGCACACTCCCAAACCGCTCCGCCTCCTGCGCCTCCGCCGTGAAGTAACGCACCGCCTCCGCGTTACTTAAAGAGTCCACCAACAGCCCTGATATCAACAAAACCAATGCAATGAAATCATAAACCCTGAACCCTAAACCCTCAACACTTATCGCGCTCTCGCCTCATCCATGCTACCGTTAGAAGCAGATCAAGCACACTGACAGACACCCATGGAACCGCGTAGCAACACCCGAGAATCTTTCATATTCCTAAAGAGACGTCGGTACCCTGGCGGCCTCAAAACCCTAAGATCCCCGTGTCGGCCCCCAACAACTGAAGGGATTTCACAGGGGCTCTTACACCTACTGAAGGCCCCTATGACCCCCGTGCGGGTCCCCTCGTTCCCGCATACCCCTTGGGAGTTAGTTTACGTGAGGATCGTACCGGCGCTGAGCCCCTCTAGGCGGTTCATCTCGCGTCTCA